CTGCCCCTGTCCATTCTGATATGCTCGAGACCTGCCCCCGGTTTATACATCGATCGTTGCCTTTAGTACTGTTCATTCCGATTGCCGTTGAAGGGAGTTATTTTTTTTCGTCGAGGACCCCAATTTCCTGCCATTTTTGCAAAGACAAACACACTGTTTAACTTGGGAATAATAATTTGGCGCATGGCTTTATGAGATAATGATGTCTAGTACACCAACGCCATTTACAGACAAAATAGTGCCAAAATTAATCCCCACGGAAAACGTTCAACTTGCGGTGACGACATTGGGGGCGCTTCAAGACAACTTCGCAACCAGGGCGTTCGATCACCGTCCCCTTTACTCTGTCGCCCATAAATCCAAAGCGTTGTATCTTGTGAATCCCGTACAGCGTATTTCCATGCTTGTCATGAACGCTCCCTGAGCTAAGAGGCAAGGGTTTTCCCCACCCAACTTCTCAAGATGAAATGAAGAAACATGGGGTGCAAGCGTCTTCCAAAACTCAATTTTTGTTTGACCATAATTTGTTTGTAATGAGGAAATACTTATCGAGGTGTGTCCAATTTTAATTTACTTGTTGAAGTCTTAGTTAATGAATAGGAAAATTATTTTTACAATTTATTTATAAAGTACTACCATGAGCTTTTTTATGGGGATGTGATGTTTCTTTCCATTCAAAATGTTTTAGTTTTTCACTTTTCTTAAAGCCAAAAATTAAAGATGAAATAAAATATGTTGATTGTATATTAATGCAGATGCTTACGTGCTCATAACAATAATTACATGCACCACATATGTACTCCAATAGCCGGTTGCTATTAAAAAACAGCTGTTGTCAATAAACTAGTTTCTGCTTAATGATTGATAAGGTTATCAACTTTTTAAACAGATAAATGAAATGTTTTTACAAACTGTTGATGTTCCATTCGAATGGCGTTACATGTGTCTTCTCGTGTAGCTTTATTTATGATTATATTAAATTACCCTAGTTTTTAATCTGGTTATAATATCTGTACACCGTGAAACACTTCTCTCATCGTGTTGTTTTTAATGCATGTAATGTACACTAGAATCCTTCAATCAGTCATAAGTTATTCGTGTAACATCTGCCACAGTTTACGTGGTTCTAGATGCGCGGGTTATTGCCAAGCCCCAAGCAACAATCTGATTTGTATTTCAATAATGTAAAACTGTGTCAGAATCGCGGGTGATTGTACATCATTCCTTTTTGATTCAGTCTTCGAGCACCAAATCCTCCCGAATCGAATCGTCCTTGAGTTGTGTCCCAGACGTTATACGAGGTGCAATCAAATTCAATGGAATGGGCAGATTCTTGTGCGATGCTCGGATGTGGGGAAAATAAACCGGATTTTATGGTGATGGAAGGCGAGGATTTATTCACCGTTTGGCAATAAACAAACTGAACAATACCTGAGCACGACCGTCCACGCAATCGTTTATAAATAAAAAGGTTGAGGCTTGCTAAATTGCTCATTGAACCTGTTGAACACGACAGGTGAGCGCTCTGGTCCTGGATTGGCGACTGTTTTAGGTTGCTAGGTACACTCTCATCAAGCTTATAAGCTCTCCATCACCCTCACTCAAGTACTTACGTGAGTTTTCTAAACGGGCTGACCTAGTGTGGGGTTAGGTCTTACGAACTGTGAACACTATACTTTAAATGCTTTGAATGGATGTCATAAGAATGTGCGCGCTGTACGTTCCTTTGTTTTAGGTGAGTGTGTGTGTGTGGGTTTTAAATTTAATACGAACTGAATATGGCTAGGCCCTACATTTAATTGCTCACCACCCCCGCTGAATGTCACAAACAACACTCTTATGTTGGATAACACCACATTGAGATTTCCGTTTACGCTTTTTTCGCGTTTAATAGTTCCATACTTCCAATACTGTCAGTGATTCTTGTTTGGTAGGTTGGTTGGTTGGTTCATAGTTGGTCGTTTTGTGTAGATCTCGAAATCACTTTATTCGTTGGCCTGTGCCCAAAACTGCCCAATTAGTTTTATCCTGTGTGTCATTTTACTCGCCTACTCAACAATAAAAAAACCAGTGGCAATTTTTCTGCAAACAATTATTATGCAAAACAGTGCACCTGTTATTCACCATCAATCATGAATGGCATTTGTAATTTCACGCGACGACATCGTAAAATCTCAACCTGGAGCACTGTTTTTTTATGATCCTTATTTTTTTGTAATAGACCGTTGGCATGCCACAGACATGGAGGAATTCCTCCATGGTACGCCTGGATAGCACCGCAATCTTGCTCTTCGTTAATAACGGTGTATTAAAATACATAAAAATACACCAAATGATTTCCTTCCCTTGTAATAATTATGCGTTGATTACAGGCCAATGTACGTCACGAGTGATATAAATGCTTACAATCTCATATAGAAGTACTCCAAGCAGTAAACTCTTCATCGACCCTTTTTCGCGTTCTTCAGAACTGAAACCTGAACACAGTCATGGGTGGCGACCCGAGGGCCGCTGTCTGGGGGACCGGGCCGGGGGGGGGGGGGGGCGCTGGGGGAACCTCCCATGGCCGTAGCCAGTCTGGTGGAAGGGAGGGGTCGTTTTTACCATGAAGTGGACATTTTCCCCCATAAAGTGGACTTTTCACCACAAAGTGGAGCTTTTTATATGTAATAAGCAGTTGCGCATGGAAATACACAAGCGCGAGGAAAAAGTGGACCTGCAGCCGATTTACGGGGGGGGGGGGCGGGGGCTACGGGCCTGCCTCCGCATTAATTTTGGGTCCCTCCGCAATAATTGTGGGTGGGGGACGCCATTGGTGATCTCCCCCAATAATTTGCTGGAATTCATTAACTCAAAGTGAACTGATCGATATGTAAATTTTTGGTAGTATATTTTTTATATTTTACGACAATGATGATGCGATTATTTTAAATGATCACGTGAAGGTGAATGTCGTGACTAAACTTTCCGAGGCCAGCCCGGGGTGTTCTATTTTAGGGACACAAACCTCTTCAAGGTCACGTGGAATAATTCGATAAAGGCAATTGATTGTTGTGGATTTGACCCCATCCGGTTACTCAGGTTTCCTGACACTTTAATTTGTGTGCTTGTAAATGTACTATCACTCTTTAATGCTTGCCAACTCGGCATTTCACCATGACTTTTTAATAATATTTTGCCCGCCCCCCCCCCCCCCCCCCACAAAAAATAATAAAACACGCTAAGCCAAAACTGTCACTAGCGAATGATGTTCCATACTGAAGTTGATCATCACACACACGAGTATTCGTTTAATGTGAAGTAACTTGCGAAGGAATGGACTCAGGGGGAAAAAGCTCCACGTATTTTTATTATCCGTAATTAAAGAACTGAAAATGAAAGACACGAAACAAGCACTTTACGCAAGCCGTGATAGATGCGTAGGTGTGGGATTCACTATCAAACTTATGTGCGTAAAGTAGGCCAACTTTAACAATTATTAAGAAATTCAACCAAATCATTTTCCAAATGCATTAAACAAAATGTGACTTCGGTTTGACATGGCAGGCTTTTGCAGCTGTAAAAATATTCTTCGATGCTTGTGAACAAACTGCACAACAACACATGTAACTTTTAATGTGTCCTATATTGCACGTTCATCTACCCGTCATGCAGGGATTGATGTTAGCGAAACATCCTACAGGTGCCAGCGAGTACAGGTGCCAGCAACACAAGTCACCGGCTAGCCTTGATTTCTCCATTCATTCCACATCAGGGTCACGTTCACACTCGCCTGCCAGTGAGAACATCAATACAGTTACATTATACCCAACAATGACAGCATTGTGATAGTTGAACCCCACCTCACCCCCTCGTGCTGAGGTATGCGCGGCTTTTACATGACAATTCACGAGAGCTTACTCTTTTCGCCTACAGGCTTGCACCGCCACCGGGGGAAATACCGGGGCTCTTCTATTATTGAATGTGGGAAAATAACTTGTTCGATTGTCATCTACTTTATATATCACAATGACCTACATCGTTTGCGATTTCAAGTGCAGTCATGGCGAGGATAATACATTCTGCACATAAGCAGTTTACACATACAGAGCAGCTTTCCATGTCTACTGTCACAAAATCGAATTTATTTTTCATCACTATTAAAAAGAAGTTACAAAAAACAAATCTTTTTATATTACCTCTACAAAAGAGTCCCAAGCCTACAAAACACACGTTGTTTAATTCACTCCATTTTGACTTTTACCTCCCCGTGCCCTTGCTATAAGCACCGGAGCCAGGGGAAAATCTGGTATTTCGAAGGTGAAACTAATAATAGATTGATAAATAAAACTCTGTTACTCAACATGGTCGCAAAAAAGGACTCTTCATAACAATGACAGGACTGGTTTCATTTGCAGCTTTGCTGCGCACGCCATGTAGCAACGGCGATTGGACGAATCCGTGCCTGCGCACTAGCCTTACCGTTCACGTGTAAAGCTACTTGTTTGCAGTGCGTTGTACATGTACACACACTAGTAGCAGGTATAAGCAATGTGTGTGTTTCGTGACTGCTATCCGGAGCGTGCGACCGCACGCGGCTTACTTGAGTTGTGCATGTCGACCGTCGTCTGCATGGTTCAGTCAACCCTACGTCTGTGAACTGGAGAATACAGTTATCCACCGCCTGCTAACTCTGGACAAATCAACTGTCACAGTGTCAGGGATTGAGTTGTGTTGTGAAGCTGCAGTTCGTGTCGTGGTTGAGTCTGTAAATTTCTGACTCACAACATAGGCTTGACTCGGATTTTTTTTTTAGAAGGCGTAGGATTGCGATAAAATACGGTTGTTGTCGTATTCTCCACGAGGCGTGACGACCGGTAACTTAGCCTTGTCGGCTTGTGTTCAGCTTATAAATATAATGACAGTGTGTATGGAAACAACCGACTATCGAGAGTAACTGACCGTATCAACAAAACCTACCCAGTATATTGTGGGCCTAGAATAGGATAACTGGAATCGTCATGGAAGGCAAGTGCAAATGTTCAGTTATGCTGGGTTTTCTGGTGTGTTTGGTTTCCATCCTTGGGTATATACAACAAGCCGAATGTAAGATTGAAGGCTTTAAGAACTCCACCAAGCTACAGGCCTCAGATGGACGCCAGGTTATCAACATAGCCGTCTTGTTACCGTTCAGCGATCAGTTCGATTACTCCATTCGAAAGACTGTGCCCGCAATACTGACTGCAATCGAGAGTCCTCGTGTTCAGGAACTGGTCGGAAGCTCCCTGGATCTGTCCAATGTGACAGTTTACAACACTCGTTGCAGTGCAGTCGAAGCCTTGAAATACGCCGTGGACGCCCTCCGATCGCAACAAGCGGTGGACATCTACTTTGGGCCTGCATGTAGCTACGCTGCTGCTAACATAGCCCGAATGATAACGCATTGGGGTAAGGTCATGGTATCCTCAGGGTGTGAAGACGGCGGTCTCGATTATTACCCCATCACCAGAGTTTACCTCACGGCAACACACCTGGGAGCGGCTATTGCCGATGTGGTTTTGAATACTTTCCAGTGGAATACTACAGTTGTACTTGCGGATGACAGACAGCAACGAGAGGATCTTACCCTCTGTTACGCTCTTTCCCTTGGCTATATTGAAAACATGCCTCCTGAATATGAACCGCAATCCCAACTGGTTAGAAGAGATGCTTCTATGGAAGATATCAAGCAGATACTCAAAGAATGGGTGATGCCTTACGGACGCAGTAAGTATATATTAAGCACTTGTTTTCCCATGCCGACATTTAAATAGTATTTGCATTAGTGTTGATGTACATTTGTTCATTCTCCTCGTTTATATATATTTTATTCAAAATGATGGAATCAGTGCGAAGTGGGGCATGTGACCCCCAGGCACTGCAACCGTTCGTTCAAACTCTGGTATCTCCTGTTTCGTAAAAGGGGAAAGTAATTATCACCGACAATCAACTTTGCATTGCTTTCGTCTATGGCATAATTTGGTGAAAATCCCAAATTTCTACTGACGAAATGTTTGCTGATTGCAACAACACATTCCTTCCTGTTTTCAGGCAAAGGTGGCTCATCATCGTGATTATATAACGCTTTACGTCCTTGACAAAGTACTAAAACTCTCGATTGGGTACCAGGATTCAGGAAGGGTTTATTAAGGTAGCTGTGAAAAAACAAACTCGACGGTTATACAAATGGACTTTACACAGCTAATGGATTGTTTTTGATTATACATGTATTGTGATGCTTACAATAATGTACGGTACTGCAACATAGACCGCTATTGGGCCTGCTATTTCCAACAAAATTAAATGCCTGAAAAAAAATTCTAGAAAAAAATTCAGTATTTGGCTGGCCAACAGTGAAATGCACGGCATACATAACACTGTGGTAGACTAAACACCAGTACAAAACATTCTGTAGGCCTATTATTTATGCTCATGAATAAAAACTAAAGGCCTATGTTATTATAAGGGAAAACGTATGGTTGTCAGTTTTTGTAAATAGGTCAGAGGTTAACATACATAATTGTCTTCCAAAGTTTATTTTGTACAGCAAAATGGGAAAAATGACTAGCATTTCCCAAAAGAACCACAGGTGATACACAGGTATACCGAATCTCACACCGTGATATGTGGTATTTCCCATGACTTTACAAGGTCCAAGGGATTTGTCAAAAGCAACTGGTGTGTAACACTCAAATCCAATACAAACGTACGCGTGTAGCTTTGCTAGCTCATCGTGCGACGAAAGCGGAAGTAGTTGAAAATACTCGTCACTATTTCCTATAGTGACTACAGGTCTCATTCTGTGTGTGATTACAAACCCAAACCCTATGCATTATGATCAATGCCATAGCCGGCACAGGTAAATAACCGCAGATTTGCGTGCAAGCCAATTCTGTTTTGATGCTCAGTCGTCAATATTTGCATATCGCAATATGCCGTGTATCCTTCAAGTTAATGGCTTATTGATATGATTTTGAAATTAATATTTATTATTAACCGTTAGGTCGGGCAATGCTTTCTTGTCTTATAGGCCTGCGTGCCACGTGTTATACATTGTTGTTCATGCCGATATACCAACTAGAATGATTATTGAAATAATGTATTTTCTCTAGACAACACGACGCACTTTCTAGTGATTTTTCTTAGATGGGAACACATTTTGTGCAATTTTCTAATCCTCGTAAATGTATGAGAACCATTTGACATTCCCAATTGGTTAGTTTTATTGAACAGTGCACTTCTTTAACAAATTTCCAAGCTTTTCTGGACAACTGAAGGCGCTGTTGTGATGTAATTTCAGGAAGACACTGTTCAGTTTAGGGGTTTTCTGTTGAAATTGTGAACCCACAATTTGTTAATTAAGAACATTTGTAAGAAAAGTTTACTCATTGGCTTACTGTCATGTACTGACACAACCACGGATCACCGAAGAAAAGAAAATTTACAACAGCAAAGTATCCAAAATTCTGGCAAGTTTTGGTGCTGAAATAGCTGTAACATTGAGGTTTCTGCCTCGGAAAAGACATCACACTTTTTTTCATGAAAATGGAAATTTGCATAAGCATAAAAACCCAAAAGGCACTAAAATAGTCTAGAAAATAGCAAAATGGAAATTGAAAATAAGGTTAAATGGGACACAAAGGTGCATTTTCAAGGATTGCATTAAAAAGGTTACATTGCGTGGTCCCGTTAAATACCTGTGTGGATCAATGGTACCGTCGGGTTAAGAAATTATATCTGTATCTTTTGGTAATGCCGCCAGTGTAAGCCAGTCGCAGCAATCTGTGTAAAGTCAGTGTTTTGACGAGTATGCCAGAAACCTCGACATCAATGAGATAGTAATAACACGTGTATGAAGCATATAAGTGCAAAGTACCGAAACCGTGACATCTGTTGAATAGCGAATTAACAAAACAACTTCCTCGTGCACTATAGAAACCAGAAAGATGAATCATAGAACAAGGAAACAATTCCCAAAGAAATCGCTTGTCCCAAATGCATGACATCCAAAGAAAACAAATATGTTGTAAAGTGATATAACACACAGTTACAGTTAGGTATTTTATGAGCCGATACTATCTCAATGTTTGTTTGAATTCAAAGAGCTTGCTGCAATGCTCGATGTGTGTCTCCTACAGCTTGCTACCTTGCATTGAAGATTTCACATGATCACGTTCATGTGGTGATACTGGTCATTGCTCTGAATGCTCTGTGGTGTTGCCAGGGGTTGTGTAATTGATTAGGTTGCTGGGACACCTTGAAGTGTGGTCGTTTAGTGTCTTGCCCGACAGCCATTAATTGTAATATTTATGTCTTAACTGCACAGGGCCGCACTTATATACTCACAACACGACCGATTCAATTAAAAGAGCGTGAAATGAATGTTTTGCTGCCTGGCTTTCAAGACTTGCGGTGATTTAGTGTTGTTATTTATTAGTTGGGGGATATTCAACCCCTTCTGAACGAGCCTTATACAGGGTGGTTAAAAAAAAAGGACACCCACTTTTGACAGCAATTTTTACCTACTTAATGAACTTATTATAAATATTGTTTTCACAAAGTAGTAAAGTATAGTCCTTTAACCATATATGGTGAAAAAAGCTTAGTAAAAGATGCAAAAATAGTGATATTATGCTTATTTGAATACAAGTCACCAAAACTCAGTCTTGTCCACGGGTTATTCAATGTAAATTGGAAGTTTTCGTAGTTCATAAAAATTAAAAAAAACTTCCCACCAAAATATATTTTGCCCTGGTAACTTTTATTGAAGCTGTCCAATTATTCAAATCAGTGTTAAGATCATCTACTCAATGAGCTGTCGGCTTAAGTTCATTGTTGCATAACATTACATAACTTAAAAATCAAATGTCATGCCCTTTCAAATAAAGCTCCGATAGCTGAGCTCAGTCAAGCGAAGGGAATGTATACCTCCGTGGACAAACTGGTTTTGCACATGAAATGTTCAAATAAGCATAGCTCAACGACGAAATGCGCAAATGCAACGATTTTTTCGTCACATTTGCTTAAAGGCCAGTACTTTAATAGCTACTAATCGACAGTTAAAAATAATTTTAAAAAATAGGTGAAAATTCCTGTCAAATGTGGGTGTCCTTTTTTTTTTAACCACCCTGTATATGTGTATTTTCCAACTACAATATGTTACACCCTCCGACATTGGGTTAGCCACATTGTTACCTGCTATGTTTTTATCGAGGGGGCGTAGTCAAACGGGTAACACCACTCATGCTCATGCGCCATATACAAACCGTCAATTTAGGGCTGCAGCATTCTTCAACTGGTTTTTATCGCTTTGGTGTTTACTTTTGCCCACGTCCAACCTACATGGACCAAATGAATGACCCGAGTTTCCTGTTTGTATACTTTAATCCAAGAGATCCAGGCAGCATCCCTTTTCACTGGTTTCCACTTCCTATGCTCTGTGCCGTGTGGGCCGAGCCACAAGGTTCAATTTTATTATTAAAAAACCACCGGCATTACCAGGAGCAAAGCCTTTCCTAAGTATGGTAATGGCATTATTCCGGTTACTTGGGCCCTTTGTGACTTTTCTACGGCGGCACGAGTCCACTTCTTTCAACCGTCGGTGTCTTGTCACACTTATGAGGGTGGTCTTTTCGGCTTGTTCTGTTTTTTTCTTATGAGGACCGTGTACCAGACCACAATGCCCGCAGGCTCAGCCACCGATACTTTCTTGCTGCTCCTTTCAAGTTTGATGTGGGACGTCACACGTTTCACATGCACCTTGTACATGGTTCGCAGTTTGTAGTGTACTATGACACGCATGCATGCAAACACAGCGCCTCAATTCCCGTCCGCCCTTCATCACACTGTCGTCAGTTTTGAAATAATCGTGACTGCCAGGGAATATAAGTGAGTGCACGCGGCAGTACAATGATGGTACTGAAGATTTAAATTTCGAAATGCTTGTTATACTTCGGTGACGGACGTGATTCAATTAATTAATTAAACTTCGGAATTGTCGTGATCATCCAATACTACACAGGTTTTAAAACTCACAGAGTGCGTTTGATGTTCATTTGAATTTCTGTTTGCCCGAAATGTGCTTAGACATATTTCGGTCGCCCGCTTACTCTTGCATGGCGTCACGGACGTACTACATGTAGCATACTTTAATGTTGTTTTCTCATGTGGTTTATCGTGCCAATAACGTATGTCAATAAGTATGTGATTGCTCACATTGATCTGAGGTAGTAAATAGGTAGTAAACAGTAACACGAACAACATCAAGCGTCAATGAGGTACTCATTAATGGTCCCTGCCTTTTCTATGTCAATCGTCGGCATAACGCATCTGTGTCGTCGGTATTTATAAATGATGCTGCTTTTGTTGTCAAATCTCCCTGCAGCAAGGCAATCCTGCATAATTTTTGTTGAGATGTTTTTTAAATTATGGTATTAAGAAAGATCAGCTTTGTAGGCAATGAAATTTTAGAAGCATTGAAGTTTTTTTCTTTCATGCTTTGTGATGCGTTGTCAGTGTGTTCAATGCAGTTCCTCCCATGGGCTTCCCCAACCAATTTCAAATTGGGGCTCACGTTTTGCGTCGCCCGTCGTAAATTTAAGGCACCGGTCAAGCTAAACATAACCCAATTAGCCCGCTGCATGCGATGGAAATCTCTGTCAACGGTGAAACGTTGACGAAAACAGGCGAGTTTCCAGTCAAATCTTGTTTAAACTTGTAATGGCAAATTACCCAAGTCATGGCAGGGTGACGTATAGAGATTGGAGGGGCGGCATGATTGTCACACAAATAAACCTGGTCGACGGTGAAATTAATTTGCCTCCCTTGCCATTTCATCTGCTATGCAAACTTGTCGAACCCGTTTTCTAATTTCCTCCCGCTACCGAATGGGCTTTGAGACCCTTTCCCCCCGTGGGTTTAGGAATCTTGAGCTGCTTGCAGCAGACAATACAAAAGTGATGTTATGGTAGGGATCTATGTTTGCAGATGTTTCCGAACCTTCTGAATGCCGTGTTTGTCTTTCATTGCGGCCCTCGTCATGCTCTCTGCTCAGGTATTCTCATCATTTACATTC